CGTCTGTCTGTCTGTTTGTATGCAATCTAGTCTCTCAGTTTTAGAGATATCCGGATCAAATTTGGTAGGTGAAGAGTCACAACTCAAAATAATACGTTTGTCAGAAAATGCGAAAAACTATTTCTTAACACATGATAATCATATGGGCAAGGGCTACTTTACCTTAGGTTTTTTTTTTAACAAATTATAACAAAATTTGCTCCAGATTCTGCTGAAAGGTAAATAAAAGCTCTGCGTACATTTTGAGCGCATAATCTCAATAATGCCAAATTTTGAGTTGTGACTCTTTTGAAGACGGTGTGTGATATGTACTTAGGTATGTATATCAGCATTTTAGTTGAAAGTACGTTTTGCTCGTCGCTCCCTTCATGGCCCCACTACATTTCTATCCTTAGTTGTATTCAGATACCACAAATGTATGTTTTCTTCGAAAATACTCAAGTACTACCAGTAGAGTACTCTACTGTCAAATACCTTTTACTCGCAGTAGTTGCGGAAGGCAAAGTAAATACTCTACGCGTCTTGCTATTGATCGGTAGTTTACGTACGCTTGCAGAAACTGGTTTATGCTTACTCACACTTGACCCGAACGATGAGAGTAAAGGAGGGAAAGTATTTGCGCGGCGATCGGATGTCTTGTTAGGCCGTTTAAATGGAATTGCGCAGGAGTTTAATACATACATATTTACTATGTATCCCAGTATGGGGGCGCTTGCTTGGCCACCTTCGGGCTGTTTAGCTTAAGGATGGGTAAATTCGATATTCGAATTTTAGCTCCAAAATGGCGAATTTTTGAAGTCGAACTTTGTGTTACTAAAATTCGGATAAAATCGAATTTTTCTAGAAAAATTCGAATTTCATCTTTATTTCCAAAAAATCAACTCTTCAACTTTCTTCTCTCTGGCCACATTTACCATCACTGTTTGTGGCACTCCATTTGTCTTAGAGATGCAAGTAAAAAAATACATGTTTTTCGATCTGATGCATCGAGAAAAAAAATCTGTGGCAAGAAAATTTAAAAAATTTTTTTTATAAAAATAGTTTTTTGTTGATTTTTTATTTTAAACTTTTAGAGGCTTTTACGTTGGTAGCACGAAGCTTTTGCCTGAGAAGACCCCTAGTAAAATTTTCCGGAGAATGATTTTCTAGAATATATCAATCCTCTAACGACCTTCCAAATTTGTTTTTTGCGGGATTTATTGAAGTAAGGGTCAAACTGACGCTTTTAACCTTTAAATTCGCTCAGACATTTATCTTAACTATTTTTTCGTCTTTTCTGAACACTACTCAGGCCGAGACATGAAAACTTTAGTAGGCTATAAAATAAAAATACGAGCTAACTTTTGCAAATCAACCGAGTGTTTTACTAATGGATGGGTATGCTTTCAGAAAATGTCAAGAAAGTCCGTGCTGGTTTCGGCTGTCCCACAGTGTAATTTGAGTTTAACTTTTTAAACAGGTGGCCACTCTGTTCAAGCACCTCAAAAATATTTAAATTGTTGCATAGTATTTTAAACACAACACTTATTTAACTAGATTCGATTTTTCAAACTGGAGGCACCCCTCCTAAATGTAATTAAATAATTAAGTTTATTCAAAACCATTTCGATTGATACCCGTATAGGGGTAATTTATTTAACTTATCTAATAATTTGATTCTGATTTTCTTACATATGGCACAAAACTAAAACCATATTACACATCCACATGGCAAGCCCTTTCATTTGACACTTGCCTCCTTTTTGAAAATTGAACGAACGATACAGATTTTATGACTTGGTGTTAAATATTTAACGCAAACATCTCCGAATTCGATTAAGAAGTTTTACTTCAAACATTTTTTGGAAAATTCGAATGAGAAGCTATGATAAAGTGATCCCTGTAGCTTCCGTTTAAGTGCTTATTTCAGGCCATTGGGCATTTCTAATTGTAATTTAGGTTTAATACCTCAGTGGATAGTTTTCCACAGCATAAAAAACGAGCATCTGTATTTAAGTAAATACTCTATTTTTGCAGATATGCTATAACTGACTGTGTCCAAAATGCACGGGATTTTGCAAATTTAAATTGGCGTATGTTAAAGGCTTTACAAAATCCTTCGACATGTTTCACTGGATGGAAATACCATTAATATTTATAATTTTTCAAGGTAAGTAATGACTTTCATTCTTAACAATTTTTAACTTGAATGCATTCAATATATCGATGGCTGAGTTGAAGATCGACCTATCTTGGCAGCCAGTTCGAAAACGCTTTATCTCAAAAAACTTTTCAAGAACGCCCTATTTCAGAATTCGTTTCAAAAACGCCCTATATCAGCATATTTTCAATACATTTTGAAGTGAGATAGGGCGTTTTTGAACCGAATTTAGAGATATGGTGTTTTTCAATTAAATTCTGAAATAGGCCGTTCTTGAAAAGTTTTTTGAGATAGAGCGTTTTCGAACTGGCTGCCGAGATAGGTTGATCTTCCACTCAGGCATCGATATGTAAGTACATTAGGGTGATTCATAACGAAAAGACTTTTGAATTTCGACTGAGAAAGTTCGGATTCTTGAAGATAATATGAAGACAAGTTCCCCCTAAATTTTAAGCTTATTTGAACAAGATTTAGAGGCCGCTCAACGCTGTTGTTTATTTTCCGCAAACTGCGGACTTTAAATGCAACTTTAAAACCAATTAGATATATTTCCATCAAGTTTTGTTGGATTTGGCTGAAATTTTGTAAGTTGGTTCCATAATATCATTTTATTGGAAGACAATTGATTTAAGGTAAATTAGTTTTAAACACTTTTATTAATTAGTCAGTAATCCTTTTTTTGTTCCTTAACCAATGAGCACATGTTTGATATATATATGATCACATTCTAACTCATTTCAATAGTAGACCTCATCACTAAATATTAATAAACATCAAAAAAAAATCATCAAATAAACATCACTTATATGTAATCATACGCTTCCAAAAACCTATCTCACGAAAGTTACATAAAATAAATCGTATTTTTTACCAAATTCTTTTTTCACATATGTACATATGGACAATTCTTAACGCATGCAACAAGCAATGCCATCGAGGTAGCGCTGCATAGCCTTTGAGTCCTGCTATCGCCTCATTGCCAACATTGCGCACAATGCACTAAATCAAGCATGTGATCAGTGTTGCCACACATGGGCTTGATTGGATTTTGGTAGGTTTCGGGACAATGAGTAATAGTTATTTGCGAAAAACAGAAAATATGTATCTCTTAACATTTTAGCAACCTTTTTTACACGAATATTTTACCGATGCCTTAGTAAAACGGCGGCCGCAAACATGTAAATATACCTGATTTCTAAGTACAAACTTATACCCTTATTATTGTCAATATACAATACGTCACGTAACGGTGAAAAGGTGCCAAGTCCATTTTTGCAAATTCTTCAGGAGAGACGAAAAATCGACGTAGTTTCATATTACCTGCCATTCCGCATCAAACACTTAAGTTTGGAAAAAATGGACTTGGCACCTTTTCACCTTTAGGTAGCGATATAATTTATGGCGTACTTGGACTAAGATTCCAAAAAAGTCTGCCAATGGGCTCATACCTAACCATATTCCAGGCGGAAGTCTTCCCAATCGAAGTCTGTGTTCGCGAATGCCTTCGTAGAAGGAAAATGTAGCCAGAATAAATATTGTGTCGGATAGTCAGGCAGTGTTACAGGCCTTACAGTCTTTTTAAACGGCATCAAGGCTTGTGAACTCTTGAACCACCTGGGAGCCCACAATAGCCTAAGGCTGTGGAGGGTTCAGGGACATGAAGGGTTTGAAGGCAACGAAAGGGCTGACTGTCTCGCAAAGTGTGTAGCACAAATGCGTCTGCGTGGTCCCGAGCCTTTCTGCGGTACATCTAAAGGATGCACCGAAGACCTACTTAGAAACTAGCTGGGAATAACCTCCAATATCTGCCCACTGGCGGAAGTCAAAGGGAAAAAGACAATTAGAGAGATGCATAACTCTTTCCAGGGGAATTCCGAAAGACACCTTGAACTTATACCTCTTACTGGCAACCTGACATCACACTGCAAGTTAACGTGCTGTTGGAATTAAATGGGTCTCTCTATAGAGACGGATTGTGGGTTTTGTGGGCTGGTGAAGGAAACCCCAGAGTATATTCTATGTGCCTGCCCACGAAGCATGAATCGTAGATTGATACACCTGGGAGAACGATTGTCTTCTCCATCTTAAATTTGGAACATGGCATCATTCAAAGTGCTGAGCTTTTTAAATAGCCCAAGGTTGGAGTGATTACAATTAGGATTTAGCACAATATGTCTTCTTAAGTCGCAGCGCGAGTATCTCCGACGTGATAATAATAATATCGTCACTAAACACGAAAGAGAAGCTCGGGTGTTTTGACGACGAAAAAAGGGCGCGTGAAAAAAATTTGCGAAAAGACGCGTAAACATGACTTCAATCTCATTCCGGAAAAACTCTTTAGGGATTTCGTATACTGTTCACTCGCAAACATAGTAGACCGCGAATATAAGTTTATGCGTATTTCTTCGCCGTCAAAGAGGTTAACCGGCTTTTTTTGCCGTCACCTATGTTAAAAGTCTGGGCCTGTTCGAGGCACGTAATAAAAGCGGCATTACTGCTGTACTGATGAGAAATGGCAACATGGTTGCAACTGCCCAACTGATAATACATTGCTAGAAATTCACACAGAACGCGATACTTTAATAATTCGCGCAACACTGCGGTTGTGATTGCAACTCGAACAAGCCCTATTTCTTCGCCGAAATTTTTTTTATGCGTCTTTTTTCGCTGTCAACTTTTGAGCTCGCGTCTTTATTGGTATCTAGTGACGATATGTATGCATGTGTAAAGAGACATACATTCGGATAAGTCTGTACATTATAATGAATCGTTATACGCAGTTAATTTCTTTTTATTTTACTAGCTGTGTTTTAGTTTTACTAAATGTTATGTTAGCTATATTTGTAATCATGATAAAAACATAACAAGGTAAAACCATTGAGAGGCAGTCTGACGTTTGCCAACAATATAATTTTAAAATTCAAAATTCAAACTCACACACACATTCTCATTCAGCCTTATCATTCTCCCCGAACCGGTTCACTTTTTGTTTCCATGGTTTTACTATGGGCTTAAATGCTTTAAGTTCTGTATACTGTCGCAAACGTCAAGCTGTGAAGTTCTACTTATTTTGTGCCTTGATTGGTCTTTGTATTTTGCAAATTTTATTGTGCTAATTTTGAGTAAAAGTTGCTATAAAAAGTGCCTACGAGCATCCTAGTGTGATAATAACCGAAGCTAAGTGAAAGTTTTGTGATTTTTGTGGTTTTTATTAAATTTAATTAAATTTCACTAGCTTACATCTAATCTTGCCGAGTCATTTGTTGTTATCATTGTTGTTGTTATTCCTTTGTAGTTAACTGAGATCGTTTCTATTTTTGCACATTTCTTTTTGCTCTTTTTGTTTACTTCGTTTAGTATTTCTTGTCACAGCTGTTTGCGCTGCGTTTATTAAGTGTCACAATACAGTGATACTCAAACTGTTCGCTACATATATTTTTAAGCTAAATACATCAGCTCCTAAATTGTTGTGTGTGTTGTGTTAAACTTTTTTTGCTTGTCGTTTTATTAACATAAGTGTTATTAAATCTTTCAATATGAAGTGTGATCTTGATAACTGCCAAATCAAAAGCGAATCTGAACGCTACTTATCGTGCTGGCTCTGTGATGGTATTTGCCATCTAAAATGTGCTGGTTTGACAGGAAGAATTCTGGACGCTATTAATGATGGCAAAGGTCTTCGCTGGTCTTGCTTAAAGTGCAGGTCAACCGAAGTTGATCTCTTTAAGTTGTTTAGGCAAACCAGAAATGGGTTTTCTGAGGTAGGGAGAGAGTTGTCGGTACTGACCGAAAAATTTAAACATTACGAAAATGTATTTAAATCTTTTAAATGCTTAGATACCGTACAATCGATGAAGGACATTCATGTGTCAAAACGTAAGCGTCTTCATAGTCCGCCTAATGAAAGGACCGTTCCACGTCAGAACAATCTTCCGAATGACTTAATTAATCTTTCTTCTCCATGTCCACAGACAACGGAGTTATCTTCCTCAAAAGAACATATATCAAAGTCTGCTTCTAATAATAACGACCCTGCAGTATCTTCCCCGTCCCCCGTTGAAGTTGTGGCACCGCCATCTAATCTTCCAACGCTTACTCTACCCTCAATTAGTAACTCAGTTACTCAACCCCGTCCGCCGGTAATCGAGTCTGATACTAGGAGACTGGTTGTGGTTCCCCCAAAGAAGTCTATATTTGTATCTAGATTTTCGAGGGATACTTCCGAGGACGATATAAAGTTTTACATCTCGTCCAAAGTTAAAACTGTCAACTTAAGTATCAGAAAATTTAATTTTAAATATGAAAGAAATATTTCTTCATTTAAAATAGACGTAAATTTAGAAAATTTTGACATGCTGCTTAGTAGTTCTTTTTGGCCCTCCGGAGCTTTCGTTCGTGAATTTGAGTATAGGCCCAACAAAAATAATAATTTAGCAAATATTCCCCGTCAGAATACAGAACCAAAAAACTGATTACTAAATCTGCTTTAAGTATTTATTATCAAAACGTAAGAGGCATAAATACTAAATTAACGAATTTATATCTTAATGGCCTTGAATGCAATTATAATATAATTTCTTTGACTGAAACTTGGCTCAAACCTCACACTTTTAATTCAGAGATTCTTTCAAATAATTATCATATCTACAGAAAAGATCGGGAGGACAGAGTCGGCGGTGGCGTACTCTTTGCCGTAGACTCTTCAATACCATCTGAAGAAGTTAGTCTTCCACACATCGAATCTGCAGAATTCAAATGCATTCGTGTTCAGGTTGGAAGGGGGTTTACTTACTTAGCTCTATGCTATATTCCTCCCCGATCTGACTTATCAGTGTATTCACAACATGTATCTTTACTGAAATCAATTAATTCAATGATTAAACCCTCTGATTCATTGATTGTGTTGGGTGACTTTAATTTACCAAATGTATCATGGAACATCATTGACAATGATATTGTACCTTTCTCGTCTAGCGCGTGCAACAACGTATTTTTAGAGGAGATGGCTGAACTCTGCCTGAATCAAGTTAATGTACTTCGCAATAAGTTTGGCAAAGTATTAGATCTTGTTTATGTTGATGATGCATCTAAGTCGGCTGTAAATAAATGTGACCCACTAGTTTTGCCCGAAGATGTCTACCACCCTGCTATTGAGATATCTTACGAAATTATAAACGATGGTCAAAATTGCGATGTCCAAACATACGAACCAAATATTCGCTTTGATTTTTCGAAAGCCAACTTTAAAAAACTGAATAAAGAATTGTCTAAATTGTCGTGGCCTATATACAAAGAAAAAGTTGAGCAAAGCGTTGCACATTTTAATTTTACTGTACATAGATTATTTGAAAAGTATGTGCCTAAACGCATGTGTGTTCCTGAAGAACAAACACAGTTATGGTTCACTAAAGAACTGAGAAACTTGAAAAACAGAAAGTCACGTTATTTTAGATTACACAAAAAAACCGGCTTACACTCATACTATGTAAAATACTCACTTTTGCGTCATAAGTTCTTTGAATTAAACAAAAAGTGTTATAAAGATTACTTGTGTAAAATCAAACGACGTATAATATATAACCCCAAATCATTTTATGATTTCGTAAACTCCAAGCGAAATGTACGTGGGTTTCCTTCCGCCATGAAGTATCAAAATACCGTCTCTGGTGATAATCAAACAATTTCTAACATGTTCGCTCAGTTTTTTAAATCCAATTATTCCACTAACTCCCAAGCATACTTTGACTATCCTTTTAAACTAAGTCCAATTAACTCAATACATAACCCTATAATATCTCCCGATGATGTTTTAGTTTACCTGAAGTCCTTAAAGCAGTCTTTTAGTTATGGTCCTGACCAGATCCCCACTTGTTTTCTTAGAAATTGTGCTGATTATCTCTATGAGCCGTTAACAGCCTTATTTAATTTGTCTCTTAAAGAGGGCGTTTTTCCAACTGTATGGAAGGAATCGTTCATAACCCCCTTACATAAAAGCGGTAGCAGGTCTTCAGTGGAGAACTACCGGGGCATAGCTAAGCTTTCTGCAATTCCTAAATTATTTGAAGCAATTATAACAAATCGGTTGACGCATTCTATCACTTCAAGCATTTCATACAGTCAACATGGATTTTGCAAGGGCAAATCAACTTCTACAAATTTACTTGAATTAACATCCTATATCTCAAAAGCATTTAGTGAGAGCAAAACTGTTGATGTTATATATACTGATTTCAGTAAAGCATTTGACAAAGTGTGCCACTCGTTGCTCATCTGCAAACTTGATCTTCGTGGTCTTCCACCTAATTTTCTACGTTAAATCTCTTCATACCTCTATGATAGATCACAAAGGG